AACTTCACAACAATGTTGTGTTTAAATGGATGCTATGTCAACTTCACAACAATGTTTTTGAAACACGAATAAATATTGTTATGGAGTTAATGTAGCATCTATTGAAATACTAACAATTATGGTTATTGAGTTAAAAAGCACCTACTGAAACACTAATAAATATAATTATGGAGTTAATGTAGCATCGAATGAAACACGAATAAATATTGTTATGGAGTTAATGTAGCATCTATTGAAATACTAACAATTATGGTTATTGAGTTAAAAAGCACCTACTGAAACACAAACAAATATGATTATGGTATTAACATATCACCCATTGAAACACAAACAAATATGATTATGGTATTAACATATCACCCATTGAAACACAAACAAATATGATTATGGTATTAACATATCACCCATTGAAACACAAACAAATATGATTATGGTATTAACATACTATCCACTAAAACACAAACAAATATGAGTATGGAATTGATGTAGCATTCGTTTAAATACTAACAAACATTGTTGTGAAGTTGATGTAGCATTCGTTTAAATACTAACCCGATGCTACATTAACTCCATAATTATATTTGTTAGTGTTTCAACAGATGCTATATAAAAAAAAAAAAGTTATACCCACTTAATTTAGTTGTTTGTAAGTGGTTCCTTGGAGTGATTTGAGAACCCTTGTTATTCTTAATATGTCTGTTTGTTACAGTTTCATATCTCCAAGAAAGTTCTTGTTACCATAATATTGAACAGGTCTAGGTATCTAGCAAGTTTTTGGTTCACCTTTACTCATTTATTTTATGCAATATACCTGTGATGTGTGGAAAAAACACCTGATGATTAATTTTTAATTTCTTTAACTTATTTTTAACATGTTAGTAAATAATGTGGGTTCACAACATATTATGTTGGTAATCAAAATGTTCATTCTCACCACTCACTAAGCTTTAGGTTTAGTTGTTGGCAAGTGCAAAGATACTCAATGGGCTATCTGTGCTGTGTCCACCATGGGTATCAAAACCTAGTTTGTAGCATTACAAGCCTTCAGATTTACTGCAGAGCCACTAGGGGGACCCTCAGTTTGCTAACCTTCTAAATTCAGTGAAAAACTGGATCAACATTAAAAATCACTCGGAGAATTAAACAAAACATATGAAATTCAACAACTCTTTATTTTTCATATTACAAACTTCATAAACTGATGGAGTTTTCAACGATCTACAAAGGAATTCAGTACTTGAATTTTCAACCTCTAGAAGTTGAACTTTTTGATATAAACCCATCCAGCTATTTCAAGTAAATATGGAAAATGAAATTCTACTGGGTCTTTTGATTAAAAGTTTGATTTTACGTAAATATGGCCTTTTAAATTATAATTTACTGTGCTGTTTGATTTAATTAGTAAGAAAAGAAAAACAATCTCCATCTTTCAAATTAAAAGAAATTTTCCTGAATACTTAAACTCTCTGTATAAATGTTACTTCTAAAACTAATTTCACAGATTACACACTTAAGAGTAAACAAAATTTTAGTGACTCTTTCCCCTAAAATCATAAAAATTATTTGCTTATAAAAGTGTTACCAACCAACACATCCTACAAAAAAAAAAAACCAGGGGAGAAAATGGAGGTATTAACTATCTGTATATGATGCAACCTGTTACTGATGAAGTGACCTAACTAGCCTACATTGTATTCAATGATACAATTGACATGTAACTCGACTTTCATTAATGGATCTATAAGGTTTTAATTTATTCAATGATATGCTTGAACACTGACTGCTGCAGCATGAACTATTAATGCATCGGCTGCCTGTCTAGTTTCTAAAAGTAACCTCAACTCCTTAATCCAGTCCCGTGCTAAGTTTCTTGGTTCTCCTTTTAACTGATTTGCGTATCTAAGGGCCTGTTCCAAATCCTCTTTTTCTAAACAGTGGCGAATACGAGTCAGGATGTCGAAAGTGTGCCATTGAGATGGGTCCACTTCAGTTTTACCAGTTAATTCACCCACAGGGATTTTGGCAGATTCGATCACTAAAACTGACTGCAGAAAGGACACTAGGTACTGGTAGAGAGAACCACCATTTTCATCAACAAGTGCAACCCGTCGACAAACTTTACTCACCTTATGGAAGCGCTCTTTCAAACTCTCTTCAGTGAAGACGCCCCTCTGCACAGCTTCTTGAGGTATGCCAGCTAAGACAGCTGACACGTATGGTTTGTCTTCTTCTGCAGCTTCCATTATGGCCATTATTTCACTAGATAAAGGCTTAGGCTGGTCGTGTCCTCCCTGGTCAGACTTAATACTTTGCTTCAATGCCTGACATGCTAACCACAATTTCTGGGCGTTCCTGGCTGCTGTATCAAGCTGCTCACGAGCTGGTGAAAGAAAATCATCATTCACTATACTCTTAGTAAACTTTAAAGTACTTATATTAATTTCTTATGTCAAATAAAACAAAAAATTTTATTTCTTCATCAAAGTTAATTCTGTATTATACTGGAAAGCATTTTTTTTCACTAGTTACACTACTTTGGAACGATTTTTGAAAATATGAACCATGGTAAAGCTATGCCATTTTTAGAAGAGGAAACCAAGTCACATTAGATCTACATCTTCAACACCATATTATTTCAGTTCAAGTCTACTACACTCTTTGGTAGTTAATTGACCTTGTTTATCTATTCTATAGCTCTTTTTGACTAAAACGAGGAATGGTAAACTCAATAAATTGCCCAATTTGGATGAAGGTTAAGAGAAGTGTTTTCATTTATTGAAAACACTTTAGTGGGTAAATATTTCTTTGAAGTTTCCTATTATATTCTTCATATCGGTACTGATAAAATAAGTACAGATTTTAAATAAATAGTATTAATTCTCCCAGCTATAATCATACATTTTACTATAAATACTTTGACCTATATCAGTCCTAGGTTATCAGATATCTCAACACAAATCTTACCCTTTACAGTGACTTCTATGCTTTTTAGCTTTGTGATGGCATCAGCTAGTTCAGAAAGCTGACGGGTTTTCTCCTGCAGAAGCTTGTCCTTCACATTAAGTTCATGTTTGCGACTCATCTCCTTCTGTTGGGCAAGCAAGACTTCCTGAAGATGGTCGTTGTGAGCAGCTGCTTGCCTTCGCAGCTGTTGACGGAGCTCATGTTCTAATTCTTCCTTCAAGTCATTGATCTAAAAGTACAGATATTTTTAGAGAACCTGTTTCAACCTCAAACATGACTTAGTCATTATTTTGTATAAATTAAAATGATATAATTAATAAACACAACTTGCAGCCTGTCAATGTTACGTTCAAAGGATTAAAAGTACTGTTACGTCTCCGTTTGTTAATTAATTTTCCGTAATTCTTTCTGAATATAACTTTACGATACACTTAATTTCAACATTCGTGCTAAAACAAACGCTAACTTCAACAATACTCTGACTGCAGATCAATTACTCACTACCTACACACACATTGTTGTCCCGTCACGTTGTCACCCTCTTATATATACCAGATTACAATATCTATATTCCCGAAGGTTCGAGAGAACGAGTCACGTGGCCTCGCTGACGCAACACTGCCCCCTCCTTAGTATTGTTCGTCCCGAACAATAGCCACTTACAATAAACCAATAACAAAATTACAATTCAAT